CTGTGTGGCTTATGAGCGTACAATATGAGGTATCCGAGACACACAGAGAGATAGAATAACGTAGTCAAAAGCGCATGCATCAAAACCGATCAACCAAACAAATTATTATTGCTCGAAGTATGCATTCATTTTCCACTTAATTTAGATAGCACGCCATATCTATGTTCATAATCGAACTCATAAATAAGGTTAAGAAACGAAATTAGAAGATGCGAGAGAAGAGAGAGAGAGAGAGAGAGAGTAAACGAAATCTCAAGCTCGTTCATCGAACATCGAATAATGACCCAATCGTAAATTAAAAACAAAAAACAAAATTGGATGTCGAAAAAACAAACTTTTAATTTATGGATTTGTATTTGAATTTTTGACTGATTTTCCGAATTTCTTTCTTTTCTTCTCCTAAATTTAGTGCTGGGAAAGATGCAAAAGTATATCGTCGCATCAACAGGCAATCGCTCAAAATCAATGGCAATTACGGATTGCATCGATGATTAAGCAAGAATTTCTTGTTGCAACGCATTTGGCATGGGAACCAACCAATAAACTCATCAATTGCCTTGTCACATGGGAGGTCTTCGGTGGCGGTTTAATGGGCAATCTATTGACCGATTCGGCTAATGTTGAATTATCCCTTTGGCCAGACACAAAGTACCGTGTTCAAGTCACGTGTGCTCGCAAAGTAAGCATTACATACAATTGTTTTCCCTCTATTTTTTTCGCTTCATCGTTTGCTTTGTTTTTGCTGTCCATTCGTCTATTCGGTTGTATGTATCTTTTTTTGTGCAATACACTCTCTGTGTTTGCTCATTGTTTATTCATTGTTTGTTGTTGCTTTTTATTCCATAAAGTTCGGTTCGTGATCATTTAAAGACAGTTCAAATGAAGCATTCGTTAAGCAGTAATTTTAAAATTGAATTTCGCGATTTGTTGTTTTTCTCGTTCCGTTCCAACTGGAATCCATCTTCATTTTACAGTCATTATTGTGACTCTATTGTGAAAATCGAGAACATCTCGTTGCATTCGAGTACTTAATTCATGATGAGTTGAAATTAAAAAAAATCTATGTTCGCTTTTTCTCATGCATTTCCGTTTGCTTTCTTCTCTTCCGCTCTTCCGCAGGACTCGGGCATTACAGTCAAATCGTATCCATTGACGGTGGACACAAGTCAAGCAATTAAAATGAAACCCGAATCGTCGTCATCATCGGAAAATGAGGAAAACACTAATGAGCTGTCAACAAATGCAGAGCAATCAAGTGACTTTGCTGAAAACTATCGTCGTCGTCTAATTAGTGTGAACGATGCGGAGTATCGGTACAAGTCGTTGATGTTGGGTGTATGCGCTGCACTCATTGCATTCCTCTTTATATTGACGGTGTTCTTTGCGAGCAGACGAAACGATGACAAAACCATCGAACAACAACAGAGCAGCGGGCTACTCAACGAAGTGATCACCGTTCGCAGTTAGATTGTCACACTGAATTTTTGTAACATTTTGAACATTTTTTTCTTTGCTATTACGATTTTTTTTTCTCTAAGTTTAGCCATTTAATAATCGTTATTTTGATCTAAGGCTCGTTTTAGACTTTAATAACTTTATTACCATTTTTTTTCTTCAAATTTCTCATCTTTCTTCAAAATCAATTCATATTTTCCATTTTTTGATTCTGCTCATTTATTATTCAATTATATAAACGAAAAATAACACAAAATTATAGCCGAACCAAAAACCGTTTCATTTGCGGTTTTTACGTTTTGTATTTTTTTCCCCGTCGAATCGCATTTATTAATAGTAGAGAGGAAGAAGGGTATAAGACATTTGTACAAAATACAAAAAAAACAGACAACAGAGAATGGAGAACTTTTAGTAATTTTAAACGTTTCAATGTTTAGCGCTTAGGAGATTTCATTCATAAGATAAGATTTAACGATTACATTGGTGCGAGAAGCAGCAGCAGCCGCATAGTAAACGAAGAAGATGTAAATTAAAATTTCCGCTATGGAAATCACTTTCATCGTGTATATAGCAATATAATGTATAAAATCTAGTCCGTTAATTGTGTAAAATAAAGGAAAATGAAGTATGAATGCGTTAAGATTAAATAATTTATTATATCGATGTCAATATTATGGTAAACTATTTTCAAACAAAAGAACAACCATCATTCAGAGTAAGGAAAACTGTGTGAATAATATTGTTATAATGACAAAAAACAAAATCGATGAAAAGAGAAACAGACAGAAAGAAGAAAAAAAAACCAGCAAGCCCATTGATGGTGTGGACTGCACACATATGATCAATGGCGAATATTCAAAAATAAAATGTTGAAAAAGAAATGACAAAAAAAAACAACAACTGTGTTTTATTTAAGCAAAATTTTCAGCGCCACTGAATCGCATTGATGCAATCACCACGCATAAAATGCGAGAATGAATATTTGACTGACGCGCACGCACATAAGCACAACAATAAAAAACGGTTTGTAAATGAGATTTTTTATCAAAATATCAGTTTTGTTTTCATAAAAACGCGATGAAACATTGTGGAGAAGAGAAAAAACCGGGTAACACATTTGAATAAAAATAGAATTTGATTTTGGCCGAATCGAAATGATTTCGATCGGTGGCTAACTCAATTATCATGATTTTATTTAATTCAATCGCATGAATGCCGTTTTCAGGCCAATAAAAATTACATAAATCACACACCATAATGAATTCCCATTGAAATTGCTGCGTTTTTATTGGAGTTAAATTTGCATCCGCCGATAAAATTGCGACGCAGTTTTGTTCTTCACTCGCCATTCGATTGGAAAATCGAACAAGATTCCGACATAACATCGTACACCCGATGCATAACGAGGAAATTCAATATGGCTATGGTTTACAAAAAAAAACAATTTCCAATCATATAAATTGTGATTAATTAGGTTTCTAGTCTCGTTTTCTTTTGTTCGAACTTGGCTCTGTAGTGAGTAATGCCGAACAATGTTTAAAACTTTAGCTTGAACTCTATGCTATCTTGAATGAGAGACTAAGACTCATCTCATTGCATCACAATGCTGGAACTTTGCTCCTTAGTTTCATCTCTGAACACATTTTATTGGGCTTTAGTGCATTCTTTCGCATCGAATCACTGGCAGCAATAAAAAAAAGCAATCGAATTTAAGAGACTATATCGAATTACGAGAGTGTACCGCACGGTTTCAATTCAATTAATCCAGAACACAGAAAACGGTTGTGCGTTGCAAAACACCCGAGCAGAGTGGTCAAGCTAAAAAAAATTTTATTCAGCTACATGCACGAATGTTCAATTTTCGTTTTTATATGTTGCAATTTTTCTTCCTCATCAAAATCGAAAGAAAAAAACATGCGTCCGTGCGAAGAAAGAGATGAGCTGCGCAGCGACTTTCCTCCAGCGGTGAATCGAATTTGGTACGCAGTAAAAATGAAAATAGCAGTACATTGTACTTTTTCGGTACAACTGAGCAGTGGCCGCATGAAACGATATCAAAATGTAACGCACACGAAACGTGAAAACAATCAGACATGAGCAATAAATCGCTTATAAACAAACATACGTGCTTAAAATGGACATTCTTGATGTTGACCGCCACAACGCATACGCAGCATACACATATACAAAATGTGTTCATGTAGCGATTTGTTTCGTTTTATGTCGCGTCAATCGGGCTATCACATGCAAGTACAGCGGGAGGAGCAAAAAACAAGAGAAAAGCGACACAGACTTGCATTTCGGCTAACAAAATGCAAACATCCAAAAAAAACGCGCTTATTGATAATGCAATAAGTCACTTCACCACCAAAGGCTTCGGATTTGTTTCGGTGGAACGCAGAGCGAAAAAAACACTTCACGATTTTGGGCTGTTGTTTAATTTCGGCTTCGACAGTACAGCTGATTGCCAGTTTCGAGTTTGGACAGTGTGTCTATGTCATGTTAAACCATTGGGATGGTGCATCAAAATGAATTTCATTGCATCCATAAAAGGGCACAAAGACGATCGACTGAAAATTTGATTCAAAATTGTGTACACTTCTTTTTATACGACAATATAAAATGTACTGCGTCAGATCGCTTAAAAAATTGACTCAGCCAATAAAATCGTGTATTTTACGACTTCCAAAAAAAAAACGGCACAGAGAAAAAGATCTCGTCCGAATCGGCATGAATGTGCGGTTTTTTCTTCGTTTCTGCTTTATGCTATTGCATGGTCCTCGTGGTTGTGTTTTTGGTAAAAGTTTTGCACATTATTTTCGGTCTGTATGCTTTGCTGCACGGCAAAGATATAAAAACGCAGAAATTGGCATGGCACGAAATGATCTGTTGTGTGTGTATGTTTTTATTTCGTTCGTGTGGCTGTTGTGTGACCGCATGACGAACGATTTGTTAGCCAATAAGCATTCAGAGAAGTTACAACCTTTGTTGCAGTAAACTCAAAATATTCACAAGTAATAAGGCTATGAATATCATCAGCATTTCGTTTAATCACTGCTTGTAATTCCATAAAATTGAATCTTTGAACTTCTCTTGACGCTTTCTCTTTCGCTCATCGCTCGAACTGCATTTTTTCCTTCCTTTCTCTCTCTCTCTCTCTCTCTCTCGGTCTCTCGGTCTCTGTCTCTGTTTCTGTCTCTGTCTCTGGTTATAAACGAATGTAAATGACTTGGGATTCTCGGTTTCTGTGGCTTTGTTTTAAACACATTAATATGACCATTTCGCCATTGGAACATCGTTTATTTTCTCTCTCTCTCTCTCGGCCCATGTGTGTGCGTGTCTTGTGAGCTCATACTTTTGCCATTTTTATGACACACCAAATTAAATTGTATTTGTTAAATAAATTACTTCCCATAATATTTTTTTTTCACTCATCTTCGCTTCATGGCAAAACACACACACACACACACACCATTAAAACTTTGTATCGAACATGAAGTTTAACGCGTTGCAATAAGATCGTTTGAGTTCACCAAATGACCAACGCATGGAGACACGGTTAATAGTTAATTTTATTCTTAAGCAATCATTTGATATGGCTCATAAACGCGGTGTTTATCCACAGGATATACTCGATGTCAGCCGGCGCGACACACGGCAACAACAGCACTCCCATACATACTCGCACACTGTCGCTGCCTCAATAATTATGGCATAAAAAGAGATCGAAAAGACATAATCATAAAGGATAATATTATTAGGTACATATCGCGAAATATTGTTGTTGCTCTTGCATTTGACACAAACTGCACTGCTAACTAAAAAGACTTACGATATGCTGGCATAATTAAAATCAGAAGAAGGCAAAAACCGAGTGTGACTATACGAGAGAGAAAGAAAAAAAAACAGACACACTGAAATTCGACTGTCATTCGGTGAGTGAGATTTTCCGTTGCAATTAACTGTCTGTAGGGTCATTAGCAAAATTTGATGTCTCTTGAAGTGAACGCAACAACTCAATGCTGAAAGCGCGCGCCCAACACACAAAACTTTCAATGTTGACATAATTAATGAGAGAGAAAGAGCCACTTGTGGGATGATAAACAAACAATTTAATTGGATTTTGGCATTCGACTCACTTCATTCCAGACTGAGTCTCAGTGGCAAGAAGCAAGATGAACATGATGATGGTCGCTTTGGGGATTTCACAAACAAACCATTTTACCATTTTTACCAGTTTTTCTTTCTCTCTCCACATTTCGTTACAACCGAACCCAGAATATATAATTAATTTTCGCCAGATTTTTCGTTAGATTTAATTTCCTCATCCAACCGCACCACACCACATATACCACAAAAAGAGCAGTGCAGAGCACAATTGAATGTGATAACAAGCGAATGCACTTTTCTCATTCATTTGCCGGATTCATGATGGATTTTAACTAGCATATTAGTGACTCATTAGTTGGTTTTATTGATTTTTCCAAGCTAAAGAATGTGACTGTAATTAGTGTTATCGATCAAAAGCAATTCTCATTGGTTTTGGCCGGTTCGGCATTAGCATTAGACCTTTGAGTCATCGAGTAACAGGTGGAATTTCTCCAGAGCCAACAAGCGTTTCAAAGTTTATTCACCCAATTAGTGAACGATTTTGACATTAACCATTCATCAGCACAAAATTGGGCTGCACAAAAGCCACACCACACAATCCGTCGCTGGATTGCTTTAATTTATGCGCATGTGAATTTTTGATCAATCGAAATTGGAAATTACACCGACCATTCCGCTCAGTTCACCATATTTACATTTCTGTTTATTCGCTTTTTGAACACGATAAATCGATCAAATCGATTAATTTAACGAGAATATGCGTTAGATTGTTTTCTAATGCGTCAACAATTCTTTCAAACTATTCTCAAAATGTCCAAGTTTGTTTTCGGTCTCTCGTTTATTTAACATAAAAAATCAAAATCAGCCAAATCAATTTCTAATAAATTCACTTGATACAACCATTTTTAGGTTCGATGAATCTCTTACAAGCACATTCAAAGTGTGTGTCTTTGAATGAAGCATAGATTTATGGCGTCGACCTAACCATTTTCAGTTGAAGCTCAGGCGTGCTAAACGCAAAGTACAATAATATTATAATTAGTTTATTGGGAAGCAATTTATTGAAGAGGCTGTTCGTATGTTTAGTTTGTATCAAAGCAACCAACTATTGGAGATGTGTAGTAAATAGCTAAAATCAATTATCGATGTTGGTCATAAAAGGCAAAACACAGTCTTCTTGCTCTCAAGCTACTTTCGATGATATTGAATCGATATGAGAGCTTTTATGGCTTGTTTATTTTCTAAATTCATTAATCGAACTTTGATTGTTTTTTGTTGTTGAATATTTTTGTCGCCATAAATTCCTTGCTTTTAAATTCAATTTTTATCACAATGAATCATTTCTCATTTCCTCTTGTTTCATCTCTAATTTGATGCATGTGAAGAAATTTATGGGTTTTGTGATTATTTTTTTATTCAAATATGACTGTTTTATCCATTTTTCTTGATTCTATGCACTCAAAAAACCACACGAAACCTAGTTTTGAAAAGATTTATTATTTATTATCGCTTCAACCCTTGTCCGTTGTTCCAACAATATCACATATCCGTCGCTACAGTATTGATTCGACAACGCGCCAAGAAAAAGATTTATTTTTTCTTTAGTATTTCATAGTTTGGTTAAAATGCCGGTTATTTTTACTGAAAACTATTTGAATTGTTCATTCAAAAAGCTGATGAAATTAAGTTCCCCAATTTGAAGGCGACAAAAAGTCTTTGTGTCATTCCAAATGAGCCAATTAGAATGTAATATGGTACTTAAAATCAAACGCCTCA